TTGGAAAAATGTGTTAAAAATTGCATTAAATGGTCATTTTGGGGCAATTATTTGAGTGGGGTCCACTTCCGATTTGGGTTGGGTAAAAATGGTTTCGGATTGTCCTTGTTAAGGGCTACAATTCGAAATGTGGTACACTCAAAACGGATAACGGGTGAATGAGAAATTGATTCTCAAAGTTCACTCATTGAAATGGAAAAACTGGGAAAAATGATGAGTTTCTAGTGTGTTTTATCCCACACCGAAAAACTCAAGGGATTTTCACCCCCTTATAAAGGGAAGCCTCTTTTAAGGAGTTAAGATTCCTAAAGGGAAAGATTCTCTCTTACGCGCAGGGGGGGTGCCGATCAAATCCCGAAACGGAGAAGAAAAACCGCGACTCGTGTGCACGGGCGACCTGCGGACACGAATGCCGTCCAAAAATCTATCTCTCAAGAGATATGGTTAATTTTTGTTTTCTTCCCGAAACGTTTATTTTTTCCCAGAAGGCCTCGAACAGAACCCCTCGAAGGGGTGTTCTGTTGGCTTCGGACAGAACCCCTCGAAGGGGTGTTCTGTTGGCTTCGGACAGAAACCCTCCAAGGGGTGTTCTGTTGGCTTCGGACAGAACCCCTCCAAGGGGTGTTCTGTTGGCTTCGAGCAGAACCCCTCAAAGGGGGTGTTCTGTTGGGGTCTTCTGTCGCGCATTTCTTCCGTTACAACAATTAATGCCCAACATTCTTCTCTTTTAATGCTGCGTTAAATTGACAGTTTATGGACGATTCAATGCCCAACACACTGGTCATTGATGTCCAACGTTCAGGTCCATTAACACCCCATTTAACACACAACAAATCCTCCTATAAATAGCTGGCAGGTGTTTTGCAACAAACACACGGTTTGACAACGCACAATACTTTCCTCACGTTTTCTTGAGCTAAAAACTCTTCCAGCTACTCCCAAATTTCCCTAGTGTTCTGCTATTGTTCCAGTTCGCCGGGACTTTCGTTTGTGTGCTCAAACGATCGTTCGTTAGCCACCGTATCCTGGGAAACGGTCGTTGCAACGCTCCTAGCACCGTGGGAGGCGACGAATACGTTTTAAGGACATCGTGCGTAGCACGAGCTCTGGCTGAAATCTGCTCCATCTTATTTTCTGTTTTCTTTTAGCTATTTTATTTATTAATTAATTTTATTTAATTAATATTTCTTCGTTTTTTCCGAAACACACCCAACAGTTGTATGAGGCATAGAAACTATATTTTTTTTTATTATATTAAGGAAAATTTAGATATTTTAGTTAATTTAATAAATTAATTTTTAATTTAGAGGCTATGCATAATTTGAGTTTAAGGGTTGTCAATAAATTAACTTATAAACATGGATAATTCAATTAACAACCCCAAATTTTAATAAACAAAACAATTTGCAACGGATATTTTATCCAAATCTAAGGGGCATCCCCAATTTTGATTGTAAAAGATTTTGGAATTCCACAAGAATCTAGGTCCTCGAAATAGATTTGGAAAGATTCCTTTAAAATCCTACCATCATCAACCATTCCATCGAATTCCACTAACTTTGATTTGGCGTGATTTCAAATGATTTCATATAAAAAATATGGTTGTAAACCAATCGAATCGAACCGAATACTTGACACTATTATTTGTATTCGTATAATCACCGAATATACGTATTCGTATTCGTTTATAATTCCGTAGAACTAGTCTACCCAATCGTCGAGGCTAGGGCCTCCAAAAATACCTGCGAATTAATCATCTTCTAGTTTTCCTGAATATTATTTTATATTCGAATTCAATTTGTTTGGTATATTCGAATATTCGTATTCGAAAAACATTAAAGTTATATTATGAAAATAATTAAAATTATAATGTCTAAATTGCCCCTTTTACCTCATTTTGATGTGCATATTTTTACAAGTCGCTTCTTCAAATATAATATCAATATAAATAAATCAACGGAGAATTATTACTCTAAATAAGATATTTTGACTTAGCAAAGTAAGAATATTTAAATTAAAACATGCAACATACCTACTAGTTTTTGTACATAAATATTATGTCATTTATATTTTCACATTGAATTATATTTATTTATAAGGACTAATATATATTGTATGATTATATTAGAATATATTTGAATATTGTTCGAATCGAATACCATAGTATTTGTATTTGTGTTTGAAAACTATTTAAATCAAAAAACAGATTTGTATTCGTATTCGTATTCTACTTCCACGAATTTGAATACACATTAATCAATTTTAGCAGATTCAATCAAATCTTTTGGGGGGACGTTTTGTTATTTTTGTTTGCTGGATTCAGGTGACCAGTAGGCAGCGGTAATCTAATGTTTGTTTGATAGACAAGTATCTCCCCTTGGTCTTCATAGGCTAGTTGCCTATTCAGTATTCAATGATTAACAAATTCTACATTTATTATAGCAGGAGTAACTTTAAGTCTAATCCTATCTCTGTTGACCGAGTAAGTGGTGGTAATGTGATGGATTGTTTGAATTCCGTTGAGATGCCAATTTAAGCTTTTGTTCTTCAAAAAATAATGGGAGAAGTACCAAATAAGCCATCCAACTTTCATAAAAAATGCAAATAAGCCCTTTTATAGGAGGCTCTGTCCGACCGTCCCATTTGGGGCGGTTTCCGGTTGAATTTTTAGATGAAATTTTTTTGAGCATCCTTTTCATTAAGTCTAGTTTAGTAATACCAAATTTCAGATAAAAATTCAATCGGGAAGGCAGTTAAATGAATTTTTGAAGATAACTGTGTAGTTAGGTAGCACAGTATATTTCAGAAAATCATTTGACTGCCGTCTCGATTGAAGTTTTAGCTCAAATTTGGTATGAGTAAACTAGACTTAATGAAGAAGATGGTCAAAAAAATTCATTAAACAATTCCACCGGAAACCGCCCCAAATGGCAAAAGCCGGACAAAGCCTCCTGTAAAAGGGCTTATTTGCACTTTTTATGAAAGTTTGAGGGCTTATTTGATAGTTTTCCCAAAAATAATCTATTCTTACATTTTACTCGGTCTAGGCAAATTGCATCAATTTAATTCTTCTTTTTTCAATTCTTTATAGGGGTTTTGACATGAATATTACTAAAAAATAGCTAATGGACAAAAAAGAGACTTTTTTTTTAATTTCCAGAAATGTGACTAATAAATACTCACTTCTCCAAATTACCCTTCCTGCATCCGGATAACTTCAACGCTGCATCTGACCGGATCACTTCACTGCGTACGAATGCATTCACTAACCATTAGTGCTTCTTTCTATTTTAATATTGTTTCTCAAGTTAGATACTACGTATTAAGATATTGAAATACATGAGTCGTAAAATATTAATATTTTTTTGGACAATGGTAAATATTTAATTTATTACACTAAAATTTGTGTAAAAACGATCCCAGTTACTATCGCTCTCCAGTGATCATTGTCCCAGTTACCTTCGCTCTAGTACAGTGACTACCGTCTTAGTTACTAACGCTCCAATGGTCATCGTTCCAGTGAGTACCGATCCAGTGACCACTATCATAGTTACTACCGCTCTAGTGACCACCTCGTTGCAGTTATTACCGCTTCAGTGACCACCCGTTCCAGTGACTATCATAGTTACTACCGCCCCAGTTACTACCACTCAGTGACCACCCGTTCCAGTTAGTGCGGGACAGAAGGTGCTAATTTCTTCGATTTCTTAACACCTTAAGACGTTAGCCACTGCAATTCCAGATACTAGAATACCTAAACATGACTTATTGTGTCATGAATGTAAATAAAATCAAAAATAGTTGGTGTCCCGTGTTGTGGTTTGTTGTTGAAAACACTTATTAGTAGTTATTGTCAATTTTGCGTGGTTGCGTCAGGAGCAATTAATTTGTCGAGCGTTAAACAATCACATTGCATGACCGTGGAACAAAAATTGAAACAGAGAATATTGTGGGTCTATAAAATGTGTGAACTACTCAGTAATCATTGATAGATCATAGTGAATATGTTTCATTTTTACGTCAAACTTTATTATTGTACAGAGAACAATTGTAAATGATTCAAGTAAAATTAGAAGTTTTTTAACTTTAAATTTGATTAAAATTAATTGCATCGTGAAAATTTTCAAACCGTGCATCGCACGGACGCTCTACTAGGATCGAATAGAGCCTGTTAAGGCCCGATTGGCCCAGACGCCCAATACAATCGGACCGAACCGTGCATCACACAGGTTTGGTCTAGGATCGAATAGAGGCGGTTAAGGCCTGATTGAAAAATTATCATATTTGAGTATTGTTTAAATAATGCCATCACACATTTTCAAATATTTGCACACCCCCTGATTTGCCGATTTACCCCAGGCAATTCGTGTAAAAAATGCAATTCGTATAAATGCATAATCACCATATTACTTGAGATGTTTATACTTAGACTTATTTCAGTCTCAAACCAAATCAAACTTAAACAAACCAGACCATACTTGGATATTAGAAATAGTAGAAGCATCTATTTGAACATTTTCCCACAAATTTAGATTCAAGTATAATTCAAGAATGACATAACACACTTTCACATATTTTACTCCCTTATTTTACCTATTTAGAAAGACAATTCGTCTAAAAAAAGCAATTCGTGTAAATTTAAAAATTCTAATTGGTGATGAAGATGAAGGAATCATTGACAAAATGACAAGACTCAGAATGTTGTATTCAAAGAAGTGTTCAACAATGTTTAGGTTTACATTAAATGCATATTTACAATGTGATGGTTTCAACATATTTGTTGGATGTTTTTGATCTTTTAAGTAATGTTTAGTACTCTCATTTTGATCATAATATTATAAGTGTGTTTCGTTTAATACTTTTATATATAAACGATGTCATCAATTGATAGTGTGATTTGAATCACTAAGCACACATAAATTTGAAAGAAAAATTTTCAAACCCAAATGTATAAGCTTACGACACATCCAATAAAACAAGGGTTTAATTGTTTTGAAAAATAAAGACCCAAATTTATAAGCTTACGACACATCCAATAAAACAAGGGTTTAATTGTTTTGAAATTAACTTTTGGGAACTTTTGGGGGCGCCAAGTTCTTGGGGTGCGCGGAAGGGTTCGGAGCAGTAAATCAGTGCTACTGGCGTCCACGGTCCATCTTCATCGCAAGTCGAACTGAGCCCTACAATTGTTTAGCTACTGCCACGTGTGCCTTGTGCGCTCGCCCGCTCTCAAGTCGAACTGAGTCCTCCGGCCTCTACTTCTTCTAGCTCTCTGAGGCGCTGGTCTTACGATTTTCGGGTACGTATTTTACTTTCAGTTTTGTTGTTGTTATGTTTTATTTAGTTCATCCTAATGCATTTATAAACGGAAGTCGGAGGTTTTTGTTGTTGTTAATTCAGAAAAATTTGCTCCATGGATTTCTGATTTTTTTGCTACGTAGTAGTTTTAAGGTGGTTGTGAATTCTGAGTTCAGCTTTAGTTCAGGGAATTGTGATGCGATTACTTCTACTTTTGAAAAGTGATTTTCAAAGTGATTTCGGAGAAAGTGTTTAGCCTACGTTTGTGTTCTTAAAATTGATTTACTTGTGTGGTTTTTAAAAACTTATAGTAAAAAAAGGATGACACCCCATCCCTGAGGGCCCCCAACCCCGACCAGATGGTATGTTGGAAGGATTTAAATTGTACTATAATCCCAATCTGACAGATAGAGAGTGGGACTCTGTGCCCAGTACTTGCAGAGGTCCTCTTCATTTTGGCATAGTAACCCCTCATCGCAGTTGACATGATTCTATAACCCGATACCTAACCCTTGAGTGATTTTTTAAAAAAAACTTATAGTAAAAGTAGACGGTGTTTGTAAATAGAAGCGAGTTTGATTAAAAGGTAAAAGTTGAAGTGTTTGATAAAAAATTAATTTATGATATGACATTTGAACAAAAGTACAAAAACACCTTTAGCATTTTAAATAGAAGAGGCAAAAACAAATGGAAAAGAATTACTTGGGAGAGGATGAAGGGTAATTTGGGATATTGGTGAATATGTTGTCCATATAATTGTCCTTCAAGTTGGAGTTGATTACAAAAGGACCTAAGAGCTATTAAAAGCATCTCCTTGCGGCTTTGATCTTTTTGATCAAAAGTGGTGAAAAATAACCAAAAGTTGGTTTTAGTGAACATCACTTTTAGATTTTTTCATTGAAAAAGCTGAGAAACATTTCTAGAAAGCAACATCAAACATAGCCTAATTAGGGGTGGGATTGGTATGATCACGATTGCCAAAATCCTGATCCCATCCCGATCCCGATTCAAAATAAAAGTGGTTCCCGTATTCCGTCCCATTTAAGTGTTTTTTTTTCATTTTCATTTACCCCAGTGCCACAAAGACTCCCTCCCACCTACGGTGGGAGTCTTTAAGTGGGGTCCTGACATTAAAATCCCGAGATGTTGGGTTCCCCACCAGGAATCCCGCTTAATCCCGTCAATGATGTATCAAACATAAAATTATGTAATTTATTTAGTTAATCACTAACTTTGATGTTTAGTAGTGTCAAACTGTCAACATTATTCTTTGGTCATTATTATACCATATTTATCATTATCTATTTATAAAATTTATAGTAATAACTATCATCTCAAATTCACAGTAGTACTTTTAGAATAATTTTTATTTATAACTTTATTAATTAATACTACGTATAATTTTTGAGTAAACTATCAAGGTTTAGTGAAACTTTTTTCAAAAATTAGATAAAAATCCACCAAAAGAAGGACGTGTAGCGTGTATTATTTAAAATTCAAAACTAATTAGACTCATTGCGAAAATTTGTGACCAATGAATATAAAAAGTATAAATATTTCCTGATTATTTACTAAAGAAAGAAATCCTAGTCTCATGATTTTTAAAGAGGTCAGCAAAACCGAAATAAATGTAATATTGTTGGGATCTAGATTGTCGGATCACGAATAATCTCTATTAGTTAGGATTGAGAATGTTCAGTTTGGGACAAATGCCTATTAGTTTTAGAAGTTTGATATCGGAACATAAAAGATTATATATGTAAGGAATAACTAAGTAAGAAAGATACGCAAATATTTAAATACATTTTCATTATATATATATATAGGGAGCGGATCAGTTAAGAAGTACCCTTAGGCTGAGAAGCTGCGAAGTCTAACTTATAAGCAAAAAACACGAACTTTTAACCAAAAAATCATAACTTATAGACCCCCTCAAAGACACGAACTTTCTGCAAAAAATTTTTCCAGGTTTCTGGAGTTATTTTGATGCGGTGGCATTTTCGTAATTTTTTTGGAGGGGGTCTATAAGTTATGATTTATTGGTTAAAAGTTCGTGTTTTGAGCTTATAAGTTAGACTTCGCAGCTTCTCAGCCTAAGGAGACTTCTCACATGATCTTTTGTCTCTCTATATATATATTTCTATACACACACATATATAGTGTCGGGATGTCGATTTTTTCAAAAAAAATGCCAGTCCCATCTCCACTTAGTAATGATCAGGACAAATTCCCGACTAGTCTGGATCGGTAATATCGGGATCGGGAATGTTGGGATTGGGATTGTTCGGATCGGGATCAGTTTGATATTGGAACATAAAAGATTGATCTATGTAAGGAATAACTAAATAAAAAAGATATGCAAATATTTAAGTGCATTTTCTATTTTTATAAATATATATTCATATATAATTATATGTATATATGTTTCTATATATACACACACACACATATATATAGTGTTGGGATGTCGACTTTTTTAAAAAACAATCCCGGTCCATCCTGACTTAGTCGGGATCAGGACAAATTCCAGACTAGTCTGGATCGGGAATATCGGAATCAGGATTGTTGGGAACAGGATTTGGAGTCGGATTCAGGAAAAAATTCCCACCCCTAGCCTTAATAGTATAAGTTGGTAGTGTTTGAAAAAAGTGCTTCTAAAAAAGTAAAATTTTGTAATGTTTGGTAAAATAAGTGATTTTTGTGTAATAGAAAAAAAGTTAAAAACAGTTTAAAGCACCTTTCGCGTGCTTCCAACTTTTAGCTTTTAAGTGATTAACTTAAGCAAAAGTCAACACTTGAAAACAGTCATTTCAGCTTTTTTTAAAGCAAAAGCTGAAAAACATTTTTGTATTAATTTTTTGCAAACACTTTTTTAATGTGAATATTTTGACTGGTTCCTAATCAGCTTTAGACCTTTAGTTCGATACAATTCAGGTTGTTGTTGTGAATTCTGAGTTCAATTCTGGAATATCCCTAGATTGCTTCCTAGATTTTTGTTTTGAAATAATTGAGTAAAACCTACAATTTAACTGAAAACCACCATTTTTACCTTCTAGTTTTATATTAGATTCTTGCCTGTGTATTGTTGTTTTAACGAAAATTTGCTTCTGATTTTTACATATTTTCATTAGTTGTTGTTAATATTAATTTATTAATCTCATAGATTAGACATTCAATTTAGACATTACACCTAGCTCCCACTTTCATATTCTCTGTAATTGTGGTCCGCCACTGAAATTATTTGTAAGACTACGGAAGGAAGCGTAATACAAGCGTAACCATCTTGTTGTGGGTAGCCTGAACTTTTGCACTCTGTATGATATGAATATAATGTATTACGGTAATACTAAATTTAGTTGGTGTGTAATGGTAATGGATATGTTTGGCGTAATGGAAGACAATATTTATGTGAAGCTCAAAGTTTTTAAATTTTAAGTACTCCACAATGCTTTTGAGTTAAGCTAAAGTAATGCCGTTCACTTTTGAAACAAATTGTAAACGGTAATGAAACTTACACCAATTTTTATATGCAACGACTAATCAATAACACGAAAGGAAACAAATGCTAGTATTTTTGGTAATAAATGTTTGTATGTAAACTTCTTTAATGAGTGAACATTACAGGACAGTTCGTTACCAAGATTAGAAGTAAAACATAAATCTTATCTAAATACGAGTAAACATTAGTTTTCTACACTAATACCTCTAATTTAATTCTTTTGGGACTAAGGCTGAGATGTTTTTGTTGTTGTAATACTTCTAATCTAATTAATCAATTGTCCCCTAGTTCCCTTGCATTATCGGGTCAGTCCGGTGGTGACGGGACAATCCGGCGGCGGCAGCAGAGCTTCGGTGACTTGCGTCAGCTTCAAACTGATAGCAAATTCATTGTGGACTGCCCCGCCACCAACAGACTGCCCTGATTATGCAAGGGATCTAGGGGAGCAATTAGTTAATTAGATTAGGGATATTAACGGTAGAAAATTAATGTTTGCTCCTGTTTAGGTAAGATTTAAGTTTTACTCCAATTTGTGCAATTTTGTTTATGTTTGCTTCTCTATAGGGCAGAGCAATTTTTGTTCCTTTTTTTGTTTGCATTTCTTCTTGGAATGTAAAGTTCTCAATACTCTTATGACACAAAATACTCTGCTTGTGTCTATTTTTATCTGACATCACTCTAATTTCAGTGTAGAATTATAAAATGAACATTACTAAACTTATTGGACATGTAGTTTGTGTATTAGTTGTAGGCTACTAGCTACAATTATTCTAAAATATATGTACACTTGTTTGGTTTATGTTTTTGACTTAAATATGCAGTATGTATTTTATTTTTAAACTTTTTATAAGCATCCGTTTTTGTGAGAAAACTACAGTTCGCTTTGTGCTTTCGCTTTAAGCTCAGTTCCACCTCATCGCTTTTGTGTGCTCTTCGCTTTAAAAAAGTTTGGTACTTAGGTCCGTGATAGTTAATACACGTCAAACCTAGTCACATCTCTATGGCATGTACAGATTTACCAAATCGTGAATGTGATGCTCATTTGTTTTTTGCTAGCCGACCCCAAACAATTTTCGGACTAAGGCTATGTTATTTTTGGGATTACAAAATCTGAAATAGGCCTAATTGGTGAATAAGTGTTGAATTAGTGTCGAGTGTGAAATGATAACCTTGAATTATATTTATTGTTCTTTAGTATTATGCTACAAATTGCAATGTGTTATTGTTAATTGATAATAATTATGATAATTGTGTAAACCATTTTATTGTATTTATAATTTTGCAGTTTTATAAGTTATTTGAAGATTGATGGATTTAGAGAAGTATTTGGATGTGTACACGAATTTGACAAGGGAAGAACTTGAGAAAATTAAGGATAGTGTTTGTTGTGGGAGGGATCTTGATTGGTGTGAAAGGGCCCTTAATTTAGATGATGAACTAGCTTCTCTTGCTTATGAAGTTATGAAGCTCATATGAGTCTCCCAACTTCAATTTAAATACTTATTTATTGAATTATGTGAATGAGTAGTTGTTTATAATCTCTTGAATTAAGATATTTGGTGTGAATGCTAAGATAATGAGAAACATACTTTCCCCATTAGCCTATTTATTATAATGAAGCAACAATGTGGTTTGATATGTTTTTGAATTGAAATTTTTACTAGGGGTCTTCGTCCTCATATGAGTAAGCCATGGCCATCGCGTGCTATTGAGATATTTTCTGTATTTGTTGGCCGACAAAACTCAAATGCATTGCGAATTTATGGTTCACTTGAAATTTTATCCGATGATCATCAAATTTGTTTGATATTCAAGAGAGATAGGAATGATGCTTTGGACTTGTTAAAACACCTGGAATCCACAATTGGTGTACTAGATGGCCTTCGGGGCTATGAGGAGTGTCCATTGGAAATCAAGATTGACCTAAAGGACGCCGAAGACCGTTTGTCTATTAAGGGCTATGTGGATTGGCAGGCTTCGGCTCTTGAGAGTTCATCATGGTGTGACAAACAACTCTGCAATGTATTCCAAGGTGAAAATGGATTTGCTACTGTGCACTACTCCATTTTTTCAAAAGCTGTACAAGCGGTGATCAAGACTTCTTTGAATTTCAAAATGGGTTATGTTAATGATTGTTCTCAGAAGGTTTATGGTAGCCTCATTGCTCATTATAACTGCTTTGACTATTCTTCACGGTATACCAAGGAGTATTATCGGAGTGTTCTGTTTAGGAGGATTGAAGATGAAGTTATAGAACTAAATGCTGATTCTACATTGCCACTTTCGAGATCTATGGTCGTGGTGCCCGCATATTCCTCCCTTGTTATTGATGTAGATCTAGACATATCAGGTCAAAAGTTGTTATGTACTCAAGAGATCAAGATCGGTGAAGGTTGGAAGACTATAGAGATCAATGATTGTTTGGTTTGTTTTGAATTGGAGTGGTGCGAAATTAAGTGATACTCCCTTTGTTCACTTTGTACTCATTTCTTTGCCCTGTATGGATAGAATCGCTATTCTAGATGTATTGTAGATTTGTGGAGACTGGAGTGTCTTCAAGTAGTAAAATATTACTATCGGCATGTTGTCCTAATTTTGTTGCAGAGAAATCAAGAAATGTGTTGGTCTTTTAGATGCATTTGCTTTTTCATGTTCAGGGAATTGTGATCTGTGAATTGTGATCAGGGAATTGTGATCTCTTTTTAGATGCATTTGCTTTCTCATGTTCAGGGAATTGTGATCCCTGAATTGTGATCAGGGAATTGTGAATATTTTGACTTGTTGGCAATCAGCTTTAGTCTTTAAGTTTGATACATTTCAGGTTTTTGTTGTGAATTATGAAATCTGGAATATGCCTAGATTGCTCCCTAGATTTTCGTTATGAAATAAATGAGTAAAACCTGCAATTTAACTAAAAACCACCTGGAGGAGGAACCAGACTCTTTTCTAAGTCTTGCTGTTTTTGTTGCTTTGCTTATGTCACGGAAGTTTTTATTTTCTATAACCTCCTCAATGACTTGTTTTTTTCAAGTCTTGATTTTGGCTAAGGGCATCAATATTTTGGTGAAGAGTAATTTCTTTGTTGGGATATCTTAAGTCTACTTCGTATTTCATTGGTGTATGGTTTTTGTTGTTGTTGTTTCTCATTCTTTACCAGTTTACCCAATGTACAATTAATGTCAAAATTTGCTTCTGATTTTCACACATTCTCATTAGTTTTTAGTATTAATTTATTAATATCATAATCTCATATTAGTCCTTTACCAAGATCTAATGTGTGTTGTAACGTGCTAGTGATAATACCCAAATATATATGACATTCAACCTATAATGATAAAATGGTACTCCCTTGTCCCGTTGGAAGTTTTTTTGTAGGTAAATGACCAATTTTTTAAGTATGCGGTTAAATAAAGTAATTTAAGTAAAACAAAGAGGAAAGAGAAATTACAAAAAGTAAACAATTAAAGTGAAATTAATTAAAGGAAGATAAGTTGGGAAAGGAGAAATTGTGAGATTTAACATGTAATGACTAAGAAGGAGAAATTTGAGTAAAAGTATAATTAAAGAGAGTAAATTATTTTCTAAATTAGAATGAGTACTTTTAAATAGATCGCGCACATAAGGAAAATAAGAACTCCGGAGGAATATAATATAATGGTTAGAATTTATCTCCATTAAAAAAGTTCACGTGATTTCTTAAAATATTAAACAATATGTGATTTTTTTGTTAAAAACACTTAAATGTTTCTAAAATAAAATCAAAGGAACACATCAAAACACGTGACATTAGAAATTGAAAGATCATTTTAAATAAATTTATGATATTTTTTATTTGTTTTTTCAATCTCAGCCATATCAGATGAAATTTAAACATAATAGATAATAATAGATTAGATCAGACTTTGACTGTTGTAAAATACACATAGAACATACATTTACTAGACTACACGAAACCAGAATTAAATAGTCGGGAAATTTCAATCCTATTAAAAACATCTATACATGGTATCTAACTTTTTACAAAGTTCAATTTGCACTAATCAACTTTAATTTCAAACTTTCTAATTTGATATAACATACGTTTTATATAGACTAACATTATTACTATAAAAATATAATATAATATTAAATTCAAATAAATAGCATATACGGAGTACATATTATTGTAAAATTATAAATAAATACTCTCTCCCGTAAAGGTTTCTACTTTAGTTTTTGAACGTCCTATATAAAAGCTCTCATTTCTATTTTAGAAAACAATTAACAATCTTAAATGAAAATTTAATCACTAAATACATTTTACCTCTCAAGTTTTATTCTTAATTTTGAATAAGTGGCATAGTTAAACAAGACAAAGTTGTAAAAAGCAAACATATGCAAATGCTCGCCTTATAGATATATTTTCGTCAAAATGAATTAATAATCTCACATCTGACTTTGATATTGAGATAATTTTGTCTTTGTTTTGGTTCACTTGGTCATCTCAGTCACCTCACATATGGTAAACAAAAATATGATAGCAACCAGATATGGGTTAAAAAGACAAAAAGTCTGCTGGCAACCGCCTACCCTTGAATCAATCACAGAGTCAATCACCTCCAAAGAATCATTATAACTCGCTAATCTATTATTGGGTGCAACTGAACCAATGACGATTAAAGCAGACCTCCCGTCACCCAAATCCAAGCTCACAGTTTTACAACGCAAAAGAAAATAAAACTTAAAGAAAACCAAGTACTCAACAACATGAAAAACACGCACAACAAAACAATAAAAATCCTGCTCCGTCTTCTAGAGCACCTGCACCGATCTCGAACCCCAGCCTACTACCTGCTTCTGATTCTTTGGCGGGCTTAAAGGTCGGAGCCCATCTCCTCCCAGTTTTTTGGCTTGTTCTAAAGCCATGTTATCTCTGTCTGGCTCGTCCTGCTCCCGTGCTTTGCAGATCCTCCTTCATTTTTGTTCTCCTGACATTTCCTCCGTGCTTCCAAACTCCCCATCTATAGTCGAGCTATCTCCCGTACCTGTTGTGGACTCCCTCCAGCCTTGCCCTCCTGTTCCACCTCCAGTCTTGGTATCCTCCTTGCGTGAAGAACCCAGAACTGCACTAAAGGACCCTTCCTCAAGCCACTTATTTCCTCCTGTAGGACTAGTCTTCACCCCTTCAACAGCTCTCAGATTTACCCCATAAGTTTTTTCCAAAACCAGGTTATCCTCATATATCAATGGGCAAAACTTATCGGTATGTCCAATAATTGCACAGATAAAACAAAAGTTGGGTAGCTTTTCATATTTAAAATCTACCCAATGCCCAATTCCTGCTTCCTTAAGAGTTGTTTCTTTCTTCATGGGTTTACCCACATCCTCACCAACCCTAACACACAAATAAGCTTCCCATTTTTCGTCTAATTGAATCTCATCATACAGTCATACTTAGTAAATCTGGCAATAAAATTACCAATTTTTCTAGCAGTACATAACTTCATAAAACTATGAGGAACATTGTGAACTTGTACCTAGAATTCCGCCTCATTGAGCTCAATTTTGAACTGAATATCCTCTGGTTTAACCTCTTTTAGAATTAACGGATTTCTTTCAAACAACCACGAACCTCCCTCTAAAACACATTTAATGTCCACAATACGATAGAAAGTAAAGAGATACCTTTTGTCGCCAATTTCTTTGATAGACACACCTTTACTCGGTCTCCACAACAAAGCCATAAGGTCCTTGATGATCTGAAACTTGATCTTCTTATATGTTAACAATGTGCCAACGACCGGAACAGTCAGCCGTTCCTCCACCATCATTGGTCCACCAATCTCTTCCCCTTTTAGATCCAATTCCTCAGCATCCCCGCCTATAGCCATATTCTTATATTGATTGACAATGGATTCCATAAAAAATCCATTGCTGCTGAACCGAAACCGAAGTCGTCACCCCTCTTCACCGAACTCCCGTCTGTCTCGCTGAATCGGGCCCAATCAGTCGAAGCAGAAATCCCGTTGGGTTACGACGTCCTCTACGAATTAACCTTGAGAGCTCTCTCACCCTCACCTTCCGGCCAGTTGCCTGTGTCGCACCCTCAGCTGACGCATGGCGGACACCTCCTCTAATGGGCGGTCCTCGACCAAGATCGATAGTGGAAATTAGAACCCTAGCGACAGTGAACCGTCGTAGAGAGAATTTTATTTTAACTTTTCCGAGTAAAGATGGAGCAATCTTTCCCATCTGTGCCATGTTAAAGAATTGTTTCTTATATCATATAATACGTAGTATGTTATTAGAAATAATTTTATCATTGTCGTCAAGACAGATTCAGAATTTAAAGCTAAGGGGGTGATTTTTTTGCTTTTGTGTAGCACACTAGCACTCTACCAGTTCTTTATTAAACAAGTATATCCATTAGCATATATATGACATTTAAAACTCTCTAAGTTTACAAAAGGAGAAAATTGAATTAGATTTTATAATTGATGTGCTCTAGAAAAACAAAATGGTAAACTAAAGGGTAAGAAATGGGAAATCAAAGGATTTTAAGACGAATCAACTAGCTTAGTTGGTTGTTGAGTCACTCGGTTATCCTGGAGGTCAAAAGTTCAATTCTCGCCGGGAGCAGTTTGAGATTTTGAGCTCTTGTATTCCCCCCCACCCCCAGGACCCCCCAACCCCTCCCCCTGACCCCCAGGCCCCCCAAAAGGTTAAACTTTATCAAATTATTTGAAGATACAAATCTAAAATTACTTTTTAAATAACTTATGTCTAGTTTAATTGCATGAATCTTATCATAATACAGGATGAACTTTTAAATTTCACTTTTTGTCTATCACGAATGTTTAAAACTCACGAGAAGTTTTTTAATATTAGAATAATACGTGTGAGATTATATAATGAAGTGTCGAAGGTTGAAGTTATTAAGCAATTCAATTAATAATTGCATTTAATCAACTCTGAACACTCCATAAATGTGATGCGGATGCGAGCAAACAGTGACCAGGGTAGTGGTCATTTCCGTTCAAATGGCTAGTTCTGAAGCAATAAAATATAAGCAAGTCTTATGTACAATGGCTCATTTCCGTACTCTAATCGAATTGTCTTCAAATTTTTGTGCTTTAGTTTTGCTCCGCACACGGCGCACCCCTCAATTGTGTTTGATTTTGATTTTTTATAGAGAAAATAGTCAAATAGTTCTTCGAACTAACTTAAAACGTGCAAATCACCCCTTATACAAGAGGCTCTGTACACCCGTCGTCATTTTGGGTGGTTCCCGGTGGAATTTTTTGATGAATGTTTTTGAGCATCTTCTTTATTAAGTATAGTTTACCCATACCAAATTTCAGATAAGAATTAAACCCAGAAGAAAGTCAAATGATTTTCTGAAATATACTGCGCTGTCTAACTGCGCAGTTATCTTCGAAAATTCATTTGACTACCTTCTCGATTGAATTTTTAGCTGAAATTTGGTATGAGTAAACTAGACTTAATGAATAAGATGCTAATCAATTTTCATCAAAAACTACTACCGGGAATCACCCCAAATGGCGACGGCCGGACAGAGCCTCCTATATAAGGGGAGATTTGCACTTTTTAAGTCGGGTTCCTGACCGTCAATGATGTATCAATAACTATCATAAAATTATGTAATAACTATAAAATAGATAATGATAAATATGGTATAAATAAATTACATAATTTTATGTTTGATACATCATTGACGGGTTTGGTAATAAATGCTTGTATGTAAAGTTCTTTAATGAGTGAACATTACAGGACAGCCTGTTACCAAGATTAGAAGTAAAACTTAAATCTTATCTAAATACGAGTAAACATTAATTTTCTACACTTAATACCCCTAATTTAATTCTTTTAGGATTAAAGCTCGGATTTTTTTGTTGTTGTAATACTTCTGATCTAATTAATCAATTGCCACCTAGTTCCCTTGCATTATCGGGTCAATCCGGTGGTGACGGGAAAATCCGGCGGCAGCAGCAGAGCTTCGGCGACTTGCGTCAACTTCAAACTGATAGCAAATTCACTCCAGACTGCCCCACCACCAACCGACTGCCCTGATTATGCAAAGAATCTAGAGGAGCAATTAGTTAATTAGATTAGGGATATTAACGGTAGAAAATTAATGTTTGCTCCAAATTAGGTAAGATTTAAGTTTTACTCCTATTTGTGCAATTATGTTTATGTTTGCTCCTATATAGGGCAGGACAATTTTTGTTTCTTTTTTTTTGTTTGCATTTCTTCTTGGAATGTAAAGTTCTCAATACTCTTATGACACAAAATACTCTGCTTGTGTCTATTTTCATCTGACATCACTCTAATTTCAGTGTAGAATTATAAAATGAACACTACTAAACTTATTGGACATGTAGTTTGTGTATTAGTTGTAGGCTGCTGGCTACAGTTATTCTAAAATATTTGTACACTTGTTTGGTTTATGTTTTTGACTTAATTATGCAGTATGGATTTATTTTTACTTTTTTATAAGCATCTGATGGAATATTATTCCAGCAAAAAGAGCTTAATCAATCAAATATTCATGAATCGTAGAAAGTAATAGATGTATTATTAATCGAGAGAGGCGCCCCTTTTACAAGAGATGTACATGAGTATTTATAGACTACAAGAATTAGTATTCTAGTATGAAACTGATACAATAAATGCTATTAATTGCATATTAATTTAAATAGGACTCTTGTAACGTTCCAGCTATAACTCATGTCTTTAATGTCTCCTTTGTGTCCATGGCTCTTCCAAGCCCTAGGAATATCCCGACCTTACTAGAGCTCCGCCCAGGCTCGAGGTCTGCTGTCCGGCCTGACCTGGTTGTGGACTAGAACTCCGCCCAGGCTCGAGGTCTGCTGTCCAACCTGGCCTGGTTGTGGGTTCCTTTCATGGGATAGATCCCTAGTTAGGCCCAACGACACATTAATATTAATCCTGTGAAGGGCTGATCCCGTTGATGGGTTGATCCCATTGATGGGCTTTGCTTTAATTCAATCTTGGGCCATGGTAATGATCCATGGTACCATCACGAGCCCCCCTACTCTCTTGAGCTGATCAGGCTCAACGAAAGAGAGTGATTTGATTCCTTTCTCATTCTTGAAATTCTTCATTCTTTGAGGCTGGCGTGGTGAGATGGAGAGGAGAAGAGTAGTGAATGCCTCGTAATTACTCCTCTAGGGGCCAAGGGTCGTCACCTTTTGTCCATATGGGGAGGTGCCTCGTTAAGGAACATGTGGGTTCCTTTTGTCCAGACCTGGAGGCTTTCGGAGCTGATGAAGAATCTGGAGGCTGCTGAAGAGAGCCCAGTCCCATCCGTTCCAGCCTCTGATGTTCCTCCTTCAGTTTTATTTCCGTACGTTCATATTCATAAGTGCTTTTGCTGCTTATCTGGTGTTGCTTGACTCGATTTTTGGAATTCCTGGCAGACCTCACATTTTCATTCGAAGTCTTGATGTGATGAAAGTATCCCTTCATGTAACTTTTTGATCACTTGCTGAGCCTGGTCTGGCTTCAGTCAACCCAACATTTTGAGGCCTGGCTAAGAGGCAAGACCTCCCGGTTTTTGATAAACTCAATGCTTGGCTCGCTTAGTTCGTGTACTCAAGCTATGCGAAATGAGATGTTCAGGCGCTTCTGTTGTTAGTTTTGACAGGATGTCTGCGTCAACATTCTGGACTTGTGGAACGCTTATTAGGTCGGACTTCTCGAATTGTTTGATGAGTTCCAGGGCTGCATCCCTGTATTTCTGCATCCAGACTTCTTTGATTCCACATTCCCCTCTAAGTTGTTTAATGACCAACTTAGAGTCACTCGTGATTCTCAGTTTTTGTATTTTGAAGTACTTTGCTATCCTGAGGCCGGAGAGTGAGATGTCATACTCTGCTTCGTCATTGGATAAATTGAATAAATATCTGAGGACATAGTATGTCTCGAAGCCTTCATGGGTGATGTATACCACCCCTCCTTCGCAACCTTTGGACCCTGGTGATGACCCATCAGTCATGAGGGTCCACCAATCTTCTTTGTCATGGCATCTTTCTTCTGCCACGTCTCTGGCAGTGAATTCCACCAAAAATCTGCCATGGCTTGGCCCTTGATTAATGTTCTAGGTTGGAAACTTACTTGGTATTGGCTGATGAGCAGGGATAGCTTCACAACTCGCACTGTCCAGGTCAATCTGAACAGGGTTCCCACCCCCAAGTCTGATAAGACCTTGATGGGGTGGGTTTGGAAGTAATGGGCAAGTTTCTTTGCTGCAACATAGACTGCGAATGCCGTCCTCTCCAGGGATGGATACCTGAGCTCGGCCCCATGGAAAACCTTGCTAACATAGTAGACCGGCCTCTGCGTGATCTCTTCTTCTCTCACCAAAACAGAGCTGACTGCGTTTTGGGAGATTCCCAAATACAGAGTAAGTGTCTCGCCGACCACAAGGCTTGCTGAGTGGCAGGTCTGACTGTAGGTACCTTCTGAGGTCTTCAAAGGCAGACTGGCATTCCTGGGTTCATTGAAACCCGTTGCTCCTTTTCAGCACTTGACAAAATGACAACGATTTATAGACTGACCTGGATAGAAACCTTCACAGGGCTGTTAGTCTCCATGTGAGGATTTGGACTTCTTTGATCCACTAATTGATCTATGTTAGGCAAAGGGGTAGATTTTATTGGGCAGGCGTTGTTGAGATCTGTATAGTCCATGCACATCCTCCAGGTTGGCGGCTTGAGGCCCAAGATTACGTTGGCAAGCTACTCTGGATATTTCACCTCTTGTATATGCTCGATGCTTAATAGCATGTCAACCTCTCCCTTAACAAACTCTTTCCTGTCTAAGGACAGATACCTTTGCCTTTGTTTCACGGGTGCAACTTTGGGATCTACCTTCAGCCTGTTAATTGCTACGTCTGGGCTCAGCCCGGGCATATCCTCTGGTCCCCAATCAAAGATCACCCGTCACTTGTCGAGGGAAAGTGCACATTATGCCGAGCCGAGAGGCGATCAGAAGAGGATGACCTGCACCTGTCTTCGAATAAGCGACGGTCGCCATCAGGGAGGAGGATGATCGAGACCGGTCTTCTAAGTGCCAAGTGTGTCATGGCCCGTGCTCGTTGGGTATGAGCTCGACATCGTCTGGCATGAGCTCGGCCTTGACAGGAATGGCCTCAGGCACGGCGGCATTGAGCTCATGCTCGACGGCATTGAGCTCGGGCTCGTCGGGAGTGACCTCGAGCTCGGT